GCGCGCGCGCGCTTAACTTTCTGTACTGCTACTGCAAAACCTACCTCTGGAAACCCATATTTGCCAGCCAAATCTTGTTCACAGCTTAAAAAATGTTATTCCAAGAAACATATAAAAATAATATCTCTCCTTCCTTCAAGTTTTGTGGATATTTATATCTGTACTACTGTTTCAGTATAGTTGTACTGCGCTGTTTTATTTTCAGCTCCTATCCTTCAACCTTCCCTTGTATTCAGGGAGTTAAAGATGGAAGGTTTCATAGTGAGACGCTGGCTAGACAGATGGGATGAAGGAATCAACTACAACTTACAGTTGATCAAAGAGGTATCCCAGCTCAAATACATACTATACAAAATAATGATTGTAAAGAATTTTCAAAGAATAAAGTCATTTGTACAAAATGAAATATTTATGAGCTCATGATCGACCTGTGGTTTCTTTTACTATTGTTATCGTCATGGCATGTACAAGAATCTTACATCATGTAGTGACACTTTCAGGTGAAAACAGAATAATAAGTTCATATGCCTCTAAGTCTACACACACATGTGAATTACAGATACAATTATTATGTTTCTTTACAGGGTAAATTGGTACACCCTGAGACTGTGACTGAGGGATTTGACAACATTGCAAAAGCATTCATAGGAATGCTACGAGGAGAAAATGTGGGAAAAGCTGTTGTGAAGGCTTGAAACTCCAGTTCATACAGAGACATGTGTTATTTGTTTTCCAGGTCAAGTTTCAAATGAAGCTGAAAGTAATGGTTTTGTACAAATTATGTGACTAACATATTGGGTTTGATTTTGATCACTAGCCTGGTATAAATTCTTTCATCCACAGATGAACTATGAATTTACATGCTTATTATGATAAAAACATAAAATTTAAAAAGTTGAATTTGCACTTGCATGCACAGGTTAAAAACAGGAAGTGCAATTTAGTTATTCCTTCTGTATTATCTCTTGAAATATACAATACTGGTGAAATGGGATATTTCTATAAAATAAAAATACATTCATTCACCTCGATGTGAAATACATCTTGAAGAATCTGAACAAATCATTAATCTAGAAACAATCTGGGATCTTCCATACCTCTCCTCCATTTCCATTTCCATACTTATCCCATATTATTTCCAGTCC